AAGCAGTGGTATCAACGCAGAGTACTGGGCGCGCGCCCCCCCCCCGCCCCCCCCCCTCGGTACGCCACTGCTGGCTAGTTATACTCATAGCTTCTGGAGGATGCTTGGGTGAGCAAATGCGTTTGCTTCTTACTGTCTCCAACTTCTTAACGTTCTCGATCTTAGGTAAAAGTTTCAAAAAAAATACCGGAGGAGTTTGATTTACCAACAGTAATTGATGCCACTGGTGTATCAACTTGTGCTCAAAGTTGTTTGACGGATTTATTCACAAAAGCTGCTGACCTCATCACCCTCGAGAATCCCGTGGAAAATTTCAAACATCTTTGCTCGTGAGTTGGCTACCAGACTATGAGCTTGATAAAATGATTGTAAGGTCTTTAGCGTCTATAATAATGCTTCGATATATGTGGCAGAGCGTGAGGAGTGTTATGGTGGGGTCATTTTCGAAATAGCTCAAGAAGGACTGGACGAGTTGTGCAATGAAAGGCAAAAGGGTAAGTTGAAGGTCCGGTCATCCATGCTATATTATGAGAGCCAAAATTTTTTTATAGCTCGAGCCTCATGTGAAATGCCTGGAGAAAGAAGTGGAGAATGAGCTACATGAGTTCGATAAGTTTTGCCACTTCAGAGATACTCTAGTGATGGTATCCAAGAAGGAAAGTGTTAATAAGGTGCACCGAGGATCAACAGCGAATGCTGGAGGTGGAGAATCAGCTGAAAAATCTCTTGGTATAGATATTTTTGAGTACTCGAGTGTTACAGGATGTGGCCCCCATCTGCACCTCCACCGGCTGCATGACCGCTTGTATAGCTTATAAGTTAAACACGAAGCGTAGCGAGCCTTCTGGATCCATCATTATGGCACTTTATACTTCAATCACGCCTTACTCAAAAATCATCCTACGAGATTTCAGGAGTCTCTACTAAGGCCGCTGAGCAGAACAGCCGAAGTGCTCGGCGAACTGGGTCCTCGTGCACAACGGTCTGTTAGGGAAGAACTTCCACAGCAGTGCCAATACATCGTTGACAAGGAAAATTTAGACAAAATTATTGACGGGATCCCGCCGGAGGTGAAAACTGAGGAATGGCTTCGAAGCAATTATGATATGAAGAACTTTAGGGTGTTCTAACTGTCAGTGAAACCGTTCCAGCAACTGTCAAACTGAAAAATCACACAAACTAAAACATCCAGAGCCGCGTAAGTCAAAAAACGAATGTCGATAACAGTTTGAGTTCTCAAGTATGATTTCAGAACTAGTAAAATTCGGAATGACTAAAGGTGTCAAAGGCGAGGCAAAGGGAGTAATGATAATTGCTGCAGGAACGGCCAAAGGAACTGGTTCCTTGGATGTTCTAGGGGTACGTACTTGAAATAGTAACGATGAATGTCGTCCAAAATTTTCTTTCGTAATTTTTTTCAGTAAGCAGAGAGTGAAACCAACGAAGATGAGCATCATGTCTCCGAAGATCCATGCATCTTGGTGCGTCTCAGCCTAAACAGAAAGTGCTTGTGCCTCCACCGCCACCACCGCCACCGACAACTCGTCCACCACCACCTCCACCGACTACAACTCGTTCGGCGCCATCTCCGCTACCTCCACCTAAATCATCTCCCTCTCTTCATTCTAATCCACAGTTTAGGCCCGGACAAGGACCCAGTGACAAAGTGAAGGAAGCTCATCAAGTAGTTGCAAAGGGGGGGGCGTTAGGTACCCAGCTATTAGTGGTATACACTATATAATTACTACTATAATTACTAATTTTCATACTTGTGAAACATCGCTGTTAGAGCATGCTTCATAACCTCCTTCCGTCCTAGGGCCCCTTCTATCCATATGAATACAATTAGATGGAGCGCATAGTCCGAACGTTTGTCGGAAAAATCAGTCCTTTGCCCATCACAAGACTTAAAGCGGTGGATCATTTTGTTACCGTGATTTTCTTCAGTGAGAATCATTTTTTCGAAATGACTCCTAATTGCGATCAAATTTGATTACTACATGCTTTTTCCTGGTGTTCACTGTCTATAGCGCCATCTGCCTCAATTATAAGGGACAGCTGAAAGTGCTTTATAGCAACCAGAAGAAAAGCGGCAACTATACAACTGTGTCCTGGAAGAAGAAAAATCAAGCGGTCATCCGTTTTTTGCAATCACGGTTTGTGCGCTCGCACAGAACTAACCAGCAACGATATTCCAAGGTGCCTTGCAAGTAAAAATACCGCGCAGATAAACGCAGCGGTAGAGGAAACTACATATAATTGTCTATAGAATAACCGTAAAAAAGTTCTCAAACCTGATATCCTCAATGAATCATTTGCCTACTACATGGTAAATAGTGAACATCAAGCTTAGGATAAAAACCAAAAGTAAATTTGAATTTTTGATATACTAGGCGGGTCCGAAAGTTCTTGCCGTTTTTTAGACAGGAAAATCTAAAATCATTCAGAATAATGACAGACAAACCGTTCAACACTATCCGATGCAAAATTTCTTCCTTTTTCCAGCAGTTGTGTTTTCGTTGTGACTGTTTCGATGAACGCCGAGATAATTGCCGGAAACTAGAACCCTTCATTTTCACCATGTCTGACTTTCGCTATTTCAGAGTTTTAGACTTTTGAAGGTGCTCTTATAAGCACCTGATAAGGCAAACCTTTTCCAAATTGATGCAATTCTTTGCATTTTTCAGATTCCTCTAAAATTTTGCTGAATTATCTTACCAGAGAATTGAGATTTGAAAAAAACGCGTGACAATTGCACCAAACACTGCAAAATTCCAAAATATTGAAGTTCTTAAACTAGGTTTACCATCACTGTATAACGAAGTAAATGAGATTGTGGCGTGAAAACGTGAATGTGCTGAGTGAATTCTGCGATATCGACTACAATCTTGCGCACCCGTAAAATTGGGAAGTACAGCGATTTTTCTGAAAAGTCGCATGTTTCGCGAAGAACGGGTAGTTGTCAGAAAGGGGAGAAAAAGATGCATCGAATGATACCTAAATTGTTCAACGTCTGATGTTTTGCGAGGTTATAATGAGCCAAATGTAAAATCTGGGCACTTTAGAAAATATTTTTCAGTAATTCTAGAAAAGTAGTAGAAAGCATGCCAGAGAGATGCAAATACTTGTATCAATTCGCAAAATGTTTGCCTTATCAGGTGGTTATTAGAGCACCTTTAAAAGTCTGAAATGAAAATTCTGAAAATTAGCGGTCAGACATGGTAAAAATGAAGGGTTCTAGTTTTCGATTAGCGATTTCGATTAGTTTTCAATTATCTTAGCGCTCGTCAAAACAGTCACAACGAAAACACAGCTGCTGGAAAAAGGAAGAAATTCTGCATCGGATAGTGTTTGAATAGTTTGTCTATCTGAACGATTTTAGAACAGGTCTAATAAACGGGACGGACTTTCGGATCCACCTAATATTTTAGGGATTTTTCAAATTCCTGAAATAAGCATAGGCATAAAATATGCATTAATCAAGAAAATTTGGGAAGTGGAAGAGGTTAGTGAGGACCTACATATGGCCAAAACGCTTTATTTCTCAACGGAGGCCGTACTCCCACGCATTTGGAAGAATCGTGATGAACGAGGAGCACATCCTCTCGCTGTCAGTGCGCGTATAGGTAGGAGGATGACAATAACAATTCAAAAGGATTTTTGGAAATGAGGAGCCTCACGGCAAAAAGTCGGCACGATTACCGGCACTTGTAAATTGAATTTGTTTAAATTATTCTACACACAGATATTTGACGCTGTCTACCTATCCGTAACCATTCCCACCATCCTCCACTATGAGCACATTGAACAAAAGCGGAGACTGCACATACCTGCCGCATATTTCAGCTTTTTGTATGATCCTCTGATGATCCCCGCTGTTGAACATATTTTCTTTGAAGTCTTCCTTCGAAGTTAACGAAAACATTTCAAAGTTTACCGATCATCTAACCCAACAGTGCTAAGCATGCTGCTAATAAGAACAAATAATGTTTTGAAATCATGAAATTTGCGATGAACCACAAATCGAAAATTGGGATTTATCGAAAAATCCAATATCTCAAAACATCATTTGTTGACAGCAAAATGCTTAGCACTGTTGGTTTAAGCAATCAGTACAGCTTTGGAGTGTTTTTGCTAACTTCGAAGAAAGAAAAACGGCTTTGAACAAAAGCTGTCGGTCGCCGAGGATCATCAGGGGATCACGCAAAAAGCTGGAATATGCAACTTTCAGCTTCTCACCCTGTTCAATATTATCATAGTGAAGAAGGTGGGAAATTTACGGATAGGTAGACAGCGTGAAGTCCAGATCTGGAGCTTCAGGAAAGCTTTCTTTCAAGCTGAGATCCTCTCCGAGGATGCTAATGCATGCAATACTAAATTGCGATCTTTCTTTAACTTTGGAGAAAGAAAAATAACTCTAAAGAAAAGCGCCGGGGATCATCAGGGATCATACAAAAGCTGGAAAATGCGGTTTGTACAGCTTCTCGTTCCTCTTCAACATGTTCATAGTGAAGGATACTAGGAGTACTTACGGACAGGTAAACAGCGTGAAATCCAGATACCCGGAACTTCAAAATATGAAGCTTTCTTTTGAGCTGCGATCCCCTCCCCGCGGCCATGTTAGTGCATGCGGCCCTAAATTGCAATCTCTCCCCACGGGATGTTAGTGCATGCGATCCTAAGGCCATAGAACTAACAAATGTGTAGTAGTTTCGCATGTCAATATGCCAAACTCAGGTTGGTGCGGTGGTATCGTTTATTCGACCTTACGTTTCGAAACAGTCGTCGTCATGCATGCTGCCTTAAAGATGGACGGTGCGTCCATCCAGATTCTCGTCTTCCATGTTTTTTGTCCAGGGGCCTTCTCATGTCCTTGATTCCGAAATATCAGGTCCAGAATCCGCGAAAACTCTGGCAAACCCCGTTTCGCAAACCCGCTGAGAGTTGTGCGGAACGATGATTGGTTAGGTGAGCTCAGACAGGAAGGACGTACGTCAAACTCACTCAAAGGGGAGGAGTCAACTTGCGAATCCGTCATCCAAAGCGATTTTTGAAACGATTTTCTCGCTTGGAAAGGAACTTATGGCAGCGCTAGTTGGGCAAGTATACAGTTGGAACGTTTGCTAGTGTTAGGCAAAATCTCACTGACAACGTTTTGAGTGGACGGTGCCTTTGAAGGCAGCGTCCAGGCAAGCCTGGGCACATGAGGATCTCACGTGGATAGTGATTTTGAGGCCCTAACTAAGCCACTGCCCAATCGGCAGCTCAGGTAGTGCTCTATCAGCTGAGATATTCTCCTCGAAACTGGACCCCGCGATCGTATTTCGCATGGATTCATGACGCAAAGCGTGTGCCCTGGCGCGAAACTGCCATGAATCCATGCGAATACGATCGCGGAGTCCAGTTTCGAGGGGAATATCTCAGCCGTTAGAGCACTACCTGCGCTGCTGCTTGAGCAGTGCCTCAGTTAGAACCCCAAAAGTGCTTTTAACATAAAATCCCCATAGGTGCAGATCTGCCTGGACGCTGCCTTTAAAGACAGTGTTCGGGCAAAAACTCGATTTTTAGAAAATCCACTTACCGAGGGTTATCCGCATCGCTGACCTTGAAAATCCACATTAGAAGGCGCGAAAATGGCGAGACCCATGCATTTCCGAAGCCTTAGAATTTGAAATTCGACGGCCCCTCCCCCAAGGCTGAGATGCAGAGTCGCTGCGGGACCCTACGTTTGAGAACGCCCATAATCGGCCGCGGAACTGGTGGGGAGACCGAGTTGCGCCCCAGCGTTAATCGATTGGAGCATGTTATCCTTCGGGAGTATCTAGACTTAGCAGTCCTTCATAGTAACTTTCCTCATTGTCTGTATTGTTGTGTGGCAACAATACAGCACAATGAGGTTGATGATTAACTAATCACCTCGGAATGTGCACATTGTAGCGCGACTTCAGCTTGTTTTTTATCATTTTCTATGGTCAATAGCTTCGACTGTATTGTTGACTGTTATGCACTCCAACAATCTTGTTCACTCTTCAGAGATCATAAAAGCAGAATTGCTGCGTTCGTCGCAGCCTGATATGGCATTGCTTTAAGTTGCATGAGGTCGGATATGGATCACCTCCTCCTCAAAAAA